TTTACAAATAAAATAATAATAATATACCCGATGAGAATCATGCTGTTCCTCACATGGTATAATACATTTATTCGGACAACTATAGTCTCCCTTTGACGAGTTAGTAACCAAAGAGCATGGTGCTCCACAATAATGACGCTAATATAAGGAAAAAAGTTAGTAATTCAATCTCATAAATTTTAAAAAATCTGTTTATTACTTACCGGAGATTGGCATAGATGGTTTTCATCCTCTTCTTCATGACCAATCTCTTTCGAACATCTCTTTTGACAATTTCGTTTGTCCGAAAAACAGCAAGGCTTTCCACATAAATGGCTAATACGAGAACATGCATGTTTTCCTGTAAAATTTAAATCATACAATTAATTTGAAGTTTAATATGTATAAATAGTTAAGATAATTTATAATATTTAATGTACCTTCATGACCAGCTTTGTGGCTGCATTGTGGGATGAGATTTTTATTAGCATGCGCTTCAGTAAATTGACAAGTAGCATGGCATTCATGATCAGTTAAACAATCATGTCCTTCTTTATGATCACGATTTTTTAAACATTTAAGATTACAATCATTGCAAGTAAGACCACATAATGTCCATAGAAGAGTAAGTTTGTTCATTTCTTGTTCAACTGCATATCGACCAATAACAACATCGCTATTATCCTGTGGGAATTTGGCTGTATTTTGTGTAAACCACTCTTGAACGCGTAAAACTCGTCGTTCAATAATATATTTAAAGAATTTTCCTAAACGACTAGACCATACACTATCATTCGGTGCCTCTTTACGTTGTTGCACATTTTCTTCAAAATAAACCCTTAGATCTGAAGAAAGTTGAACAAAATCTCTGTTTTCTTCAAATAGTAAAATTTCTGCATCAGGAAGTAAACTTGCTGAATTATCAAAATCTTCAAATATATCTGATATAGGAATGGTGGGATCATCGATACAAAGACCTGTATCACGATTCTTAAAAGAGATTTTTCAAATTTAGCATATATGTGTGCCTGAAATTAGTTTGAAAATTCATCTTGCATAAATACCAATAAATGTTCAATGGCTTGATCTTTTTGTTCAACACCAAGTGATATAACTGTTGGAAGAAGTCTTTTCAATGTTGCAACACGAATTTGAACTAGGTTTTCATCCAAAGATCCCCAGTCACAAATCTGTAAACATTAAAAGATTCTTTAATATAATTAAAAAGCCAAAAGTTAAATTATGTATATAAAAATAAACAAACCTTCAATTTAGCCATAATCACTTTTGTATTTTGCAAGAATATGCGTGCATTCTCATATTTGGGTTTTTGTTTATCAAGAAGTTTTTTAAGATCTTTTAAACTCTTGAACCAGGCAGGATCATTGAACATCGGCCAAGGTGTGATATTTAATCCACTAGGATACATTCTAGTTATGAAATTATCTTCGCCTTCCTAAAATCCAATAGAAGTTTACGTTAACAAATGTACAATAGTTTATGTAAATAATGTTTTATATGTTTATCTACCTCGGCCACCAAAGTATTAAACTTTAATGAAAACTCTCGAACAATATCATCTCGATCTTGTTTTGGTACGTCCTTAATAATGATGCAAAGTTTTGCCTATAAAATATTAAAATAAATTAGTTGAGTACACGATTTTTCTTGATCAAAATTTGTGCACAATACCTGAAATATCTTTGGATCAGATTCAAATAAAGTTGCACCATCTTGGAACCTTTGAAACATTGTTGACATGTCTCTATTGATAGCAAATTGATTCTATTATACGATTTAAATTATTTAGTTGAGTGATAAATTAAAAGTATTAATACTTTAAAACAATAATTAATACAGTAATTAAATATCTAGATTTACTTTGAAAAGGATCATGTTTGATACGACGGTGTTAAATAAAGTTAAAAATAAGTCTATAATTTATAAAATATAAAAATGTTAGCTTTTATATATTAATACAACATGAATAATTCATTCACATGCCTTCTTGAGGTGTTCGTTCGAGAGACTTGAGTCCCTCGAAATCCAGAGCAACGTATAAGTATTGTTTAGTAATCACTATGTTTAATTAATTAATATATTTCATTAATATATTTAATTAGTATATTTAATTAGTAATTAATGTAATTAATTAGTACTCAAAGGGTGTGTTAAATATATACCTAATGACATCCATACTCCTTCAGTACAACGCTAAATTAAAGGAAAAATTAATAACATGTGTAAAATCCGTGATTTGCTTAGTGATAAATCTTACCATTGCAGAACCATCAAACGTGGTTCCAACCAAATGGTTTAACATATAACTATTAAATAAATTGGAGATTTAGTAAACTATATAAATTTACTGTAATTTTACTCGATTAATTAAAAGAATTTTAAATAAGAACTCACGATTTTCCACAACTTTGTTCACCCATAGAACTAACTACTTTAACTTGACGATTTCCAAAATGTTTAAATATGCCTTCGTACCATCCAAAACTTATATTTTGTGCAATTGCATCAACGTGTCTGGCATATCCATCTTCAAGGTCTGCTTGTTCAACTTCTGATGATAAACCATCTCTGAGTGGTGTGAATAGGTTATTTCTCGCAACAGCAATTTGAATGGGAATTAAAACTGATAACTGAATTATCCATCTTTAATATGAATTAAAGTTAGTAATACGATTAATATGATAATTAATTTCATTATTTAAAATACATACTCTCCAAGTTGATATTCAGTGGTGTTTTCTTGTTGAAATTCAGAATCAACAATATCAAGACCATTAAAGGTAGTAACCGTCACAGTAAACCTGTCAATAATTTATTATATAAATATGTTGAAAAAAAAATCAAATCCATTTAAAGAAATTAATTAATACTTTTTTAAAGATGTAGCCGGTTTCTTTGTTGATCGTTTTAATTCTTCAAACATCTCAGAAACATAATCTTCAAATTTATCTTGATAATCTTCAACTTTATCATCATCTTGCGTATCCAAAGCAATTTGCAAGCTTAAAGGATGATTTTTTTCTGTATCAATACAACTATCAACTGGATATTTTTCAAACATTAGTCGATAAGAGTCAATAAGACCATTAAGATTGGTTTTAGGTTCAACTCTAAATTCCATCCATTCATTATTTGTTGGTTGAAAAGATTTAGAAATCTTTAATGTTGTATCTGAAAGAACTTCCAATACATTATATCTTTCACCCAATAATACAAGATTTTCTCCTTCATGAACATCTTTTGTAAAGTTTGTGTTTTTTCCTTCAACAATAGAAAAGTTTTTACTTCGAGAAGTAGAAGACAATCTCACTTGTCCTAAAGATCTTTTTTGTGATCTCTGTTGGAAACGGTATTGTGTTTTTTCAAGGGTAACTTTAGCAATCGTTGAACAAAATATACCATTCTCGAGGTCAAGAGTTGTTATATGTATTTGACGTTTATGGACTAACGAAAATTGATTATATTCAAGAGACTGCATATTCGGAGGTAATTCAATTACTATTAAAATCGATAGAATATGAAATTAATATAATTAATAAAGTTAGTATATCTAATATATCAAGAAAACTTTTCTATATATCATGTAAATACCTTTGTTGGCATCAGGTTTTCCAAAACTAGTACAGAAATATATATATGCGAAATATTTTTCCTCAAATGTTGTAGTACTTGTGGTTTCATCAATTTCAGAATTAATATCAGATTCAATGTCGGAAGAATCAACATCCTCATCATCATCATCTTTAAGTGGTTGTTCTACTTGTAATGTTTCTTTCACAAAAGCAACGATACATGCTCCATCAGGAGTAGATACAACATTTGTTGCATTAGCTGGAATTTGTCCTATTCCAGGACGAAATTGTCCATTAACAAGGTTATATATACGTGCTCTTCCTCCGACTTCCACAAAGCATAATTCTTCAGTATCTTTAATGAAAAAGAAATGTTGCATATTTGGAGCCGAAAAGTTATACCATTGCAATATTGGAACATTTGAATTGCGTGGAAATAGATTGGTATATCCTTCATCAAATGCATAAACGTGCAACTAAAAATATCATAAATGGTAAGAAAAATTGTAAGAAAAATTGAAGTTAAATTATTTATAACAATGTTTAATAACGATAATGTATCTATAACCTACCACTCCACTTTGTGTATGAAATATGCCAATCAAGCCTCGTGGTTCATTAATAGCAAACAAACAATACTCTTCTGTATTTAATATCCTAAAAGCTTTTGGCGAACTTGAATTAAATATTGTTTTAAGACGTGATACGGTATCAAAAAAGATTTCATATCGTGGTTGTTTTTTATTCCAGAGGATAATAAAATATTTTTTATTTTCGAGCTGAGAAATTTTTCTATTTTACAATAAAATATAACGAAATTTTAATTTTAATTGGTAACAATTATAGCAATTTGAGAAAATAGTAAATATACCTTAGCTCGTATATATCTGGATTAATTTGAAAAGATACTCCTGTAGTTCCATAATGATTTGTAAACAATCTGGGTTTAGGTACATATAACTCATTTTCTTGTAATTCAAAGGTATCAGTTTGTTCCAATGACGTTTCGTAAATAGTAATTTGCAATTGATCAGGTTGTGTTGTTTCAACCTCATAGGTAAGGAGAAATGAATATGAATAATAGGGTTCTTTATATAAAGAAAGCCGGATTAGTAATCTCATTTTTAAAAATATAAGGTCAAAGCTTTGAAATTTTAATTACCAGAAATATCTAATATCCTGAATTTACGACTGAATACAGTTAAAGCATAGTGTCAAAGATTTAATTAAATGATACATAGTAATGAAAATTAAATATAAATTTGGGTGCCACTAAGGTAACCCTGTCATAAGGGTTAATTTTAAAGCCCGAAGTGTAGTTTCCATTTGCGGCACCCATTTGAACTCGACAGACATACCTTGTTGACTCTGTTGAATACTTTTCTTCAATTTTTTGACATATTTTTTCAAATTCACGCATTTCTAAATCCCGCTTGAGCAATGTGAATTCTTCGTCTAATTTACGATCTATTTCTTTACCCAAAGGACCAGAAAGTTTAGGTAAAATTCCTTTTACATCTGGAGCAAAAGTATCGGTTCTCCATTTTGAATATTCACGAAAGAAAGCATCAATGATTCCTCGTCTAATTTCTTCATTGGAGTTAAAAAAGGATCCCGTATGTAGGTCATGAATAAAAGTAGAATCATCGTATCTATTTGCATACTCTTCTGCTTGCTTTATTGTGTCATTTATGTGGCTAGAAACACTTTTTGACTCATTTTTTTGATTATTTCTTGGTTCATTTTTTGAAGTTGAATTAGAAGAGAAAAACGAAGTTAACGAAGAAGTAATAAAGCTGAGTAGTCCTTTCTGAGCTTCAGTGTGTTTTTTAACAACAACATGCATATCTTTTTCGTCATCCAAAAATATAGCATATAATAATTTAAGAGTAGAATGGCCAATCTCTTCTTTATTCTCATCAGTGTTAGTTGCAGCATATGCTCTGGCAGTGATTAACCTTGCAAATAAGTATCGTTGCTTTAATTTTTTCCAGGATAAAGAATTAATTTTAGCCACATCCGCAATTTTTTTTTGCATATCAGGATATTTAGTATTAATACGTTTAATAGCTATATAATTAAACAAAATACAGAGTGAATAATCATACAACACGGTTTGTAAATGACAAAAAATTTTCGTACCAGAATCGTCAATTTGAGCATTCGGAGTTTCCATTGAAGTTTTAATGAACCGAAGTTCAAATTTACTATAATAAAATTTATAATAAAGTTATTATTGTCACAGTTTGAATTAATAGTGATGAACAAGATAAATAATGTAATGTTTAATTTTATACTTGTATAATTCTTTAATTTTTTCTCGTGACATCGCCGTAACATATCCAGCATCGGTTTTAATACTGTTTTTTTCCATTTCTTTTTTTAAGTCATTGTCCTTTTTTGCCAGGGTAATAGCATCATTTAATGGACCCAATAACTCTTTTTCCTGGTCTAATCCATCTTTGATTAAAAACCCTAAAGCTTTCATACTCATTTTACGATCAATTTCCAAAGAATATCCTTGCATACGAGATTGGAGTTCTTGTTTAAGTGAGGATTTTCGTATGGTTTGAACCGACTTTCGCATAACGGAGTCAGACGTAATTTTCTTTCTTGTGATGAATGTCTGATTATAGGCAGACTCGACCACTGAAAAGTTACAAAAACAAATGTGTGAACAAAGCAACTTTGCAGCGAGAAAAAAAAATTTTTAATTTAATAATGAATCAATATTACCCATAGGAGTCAATGAACTGTCATTATATTCTAAATTTTTCTTTACGGTAGCTGGAAGATTAATCTGAATACATAAATGACCGAAAATATTATGATTAATAATTGAATGTGAATCCAGCAATGTTGTGACAACTATTAAATATACCTGAAAACCGGGGTGCAATTTAAAATCTTCTTGCTCCTCCTGACTTTTTTTAACTTCAAATTCATAGCACATATTATTTTCTTCGTCATCTGAATCTTGTTCATCATTTTCCACACCCCAATTGAAATTTTCCAAATCTTTTTCACTCATAAAACAAATTTGCTGATCGGTAAGTTTAGTAAGATATCTAAAATGTAGTGCGTATACAATTATATGATATCATGATCAGAAATAAATTAGAAAAACTACAAATAATAGTATAATATAATAGTGAAATATTTACCTATGAAGATTAGTCATATTTTTCTTTTTTTGCGATGAAGCATTTTCTTCGTAACATCCCACTTCAGGCCAGTGAATTACTAAACCAACATCAGGATTAACCATTAACAAATAGATTCCAGATCGAAGGGTCGGTTGATTTTCAACTTCCCGTTTAACACCAGAAGAACGCGACATTGTAAGCAAATCAAAACTATAAAATGTAATACGTATAAAGATTTCCACTTTACATAAATACGTGTAACCATTCATAATAATAACAAAGAAAGATTAACATACAGTTTTTGATTGATTAAATTTAGTTTTAACAAGAGTTTTGCAATTAATAAGTGATTTCCATAGCAACCAACAAGCCGGAATGAAAGTGTATTCAATCTATTATATTCAATTTCAGAGATTGAGGTAAAGGAGTATGGTACCATATCATTACAAAGTTGCTTTAGTGAATCTTTAGAAATGATGATTTTATCAACTTGAAAGGAAAAAATAAGATTAGTACAATAAACAATTTAATTAGGAAAAATAAGGTAAGGTTAATGAATAATATAAATACCAAGTCCATTTGAACCATCATCTTTGCACAAATCCAATAAACGATATAAGCCAGGGATGTATTCGGCCAGATCTTTTCCGTAGTTGATCTTGATTGTTGGATCTTTGTTAAAATATTTATGCCCTTCAATAGCAGCACGAATATGTTTCTTATAATCATCATTTTCTTTGGAACATTTTTCAGTAGTTTTCGGACTTTGATCAGTCGCATTTGTATTAGGTGATTGTACTTCATCTTTTTGACTTCTGTCTATTTCAAATAAAATTTTCGTCATGTCATCGAAATTATTAGGAATCGGAGGTTGATCATCTTGTGTGGATGAAGAATGCGCATCATCTGTATTTTGGGAGTCATCACTCTCGGTATATTGAAAATTAATAGAGCTTAATTCTTGTTGTAGCAAATCATTTGTTGATTGAGAATCATTTAAATGGATTGGAGGACTAGGACTACTTGAGCGACTGGAAATCGTACTTTGACCGGCACTTGAGATAACGGAAAAACCATCATTATTTAGTGCGTTCTCTATTTCAAGTGTCGAATCCAATATGTCTTGTAAGTTTGCAGAAAATGAATAAGTATTTAACAAAACTTATTAATTAGTTCATGTTTGGATTATCGTTACCATATTGTTCAAAGGACTCTTCAGCTTCAGGTAAACCTCGGATTTGCATTTTTAATTTCTAAAGAAATAACGAAAATAACGAAAAGACTTTCTAAGTGCTATTTACGCAAAAGCTATTTATAAAAAAAAGGTTATTGTATCCAGAAATGGGAATGTGTAATGTGTCTACGTAATGGTAAAATGAAATATACTTTGACTAATTACGTATATCACATAAACACAATATTAAAACCCAACACATATTATGGCTAATGAAAGTTGTTGACCATTGATGATACCTTTGTTATATTAAATATATTAAATCATGCGGAAAAATACTATCATAACGACAAGCTGTTAAGGACGAGTATCTTTACTGCGACAATATATTTAAGTAGAAAACTTGCTCGGAACTTGAACATTAACGTTCAATAATTATACGTAGAACAATGATAAAAATCATTTATAGATTAATTAAAATATTAAAATCGAAAAATTTCAATTTAGAATACTAGATTTATTACCTGTTGTTTTGAAACATAATATATTTAAAAAAAAATCACACATGAATGTAAACGGGAACTTTTATCGGATACATCCGTACATATAAAAAAATAGTTAAATAAATTATATTTATAAAATTCGTAGAGTATTGAGAGTTGATTAAGATTACAATTCTCACAGAGCATCAATATCGATATGTAATTATTATTATTATTATTATTATTATTAAGTATTATTATGTTATTGCTACTGCTATCGCATTAGAGATGAGAATTATCAAATCAGTTTATTATTTTTATTATTGATATCAGTATACTATACATTTGCGCACGTAATCACGTATACGCTTACGCACTACTAACTCATGAGAATACTATACTCGATTACGTCTGTGATTACGTACAGTGTTGTCACGTCTACTATTTCAAAGACTTTTTTTTACCGATGTCCGCGTCCAAACGTCCACAGTTCTGAATATTTTTGCTTAAAAGGTTAAAATAGTTTATTTTAATAAAATTTCGAGCAAAACCAACACTAATTTATATATACAAGTAACTCTCGATATAGAAAACTTTCGATATACTCGATATAAGAAGCTCTTGGCATAAGAAAGATTTTACAAATTTCATTTGAAAATTTTATAAGCTTTGATATAAGAAAGTTTCGATATAAGAAGGATTTTGGCTAGACCTGGTGACTTTTTTTATATTAAGAGTTCATTAATATTTTATCGGGAATTTATGTAACCCTTAACCCTAAACCCTAACCCTAATTTGACTAGGAAATTCCGGGCGGATTTTTTTGTGTTACTTTCAAAAACGATCTAATTCTGGTCAAATTTGCAGATTATTTGGCCCTGGCTTATCAGTTTTAAAACTGATAAACCAGGGCCAAATAATCTGCAAATTTGACCAGAATTAGATCGTTTTTGAAAGTAACACAAAAAAATCCGCCCATATGACGTACAGTACGTACGGTGCAAGAAATCTAAAAACCACAATCCCTTATAGAGACAAAGGGGATTACAGAAGATCAGTATGGTATAACTAACCGGATCAGTATGGTATAGATGTGATTTTATCAAACCGTACTATACTGTTTTGCTTAATTGTCACACCTCATAAAAACCTGGCCGGCATTAAGCATAATTTTGGGCAGCACTAACCCTAAATTCTAAGGGATGTGACAAATAATAAAAATAGTATATAAAATACCATACTGATCTGGTCACCTATACCATACAGATATTCGTTTTACCTGAGACGAAGTATACAAAAGTAACGTATTTAAATCAAATACGTACGTACGTACTATAATCATAAATTATTAGCATCAATAGTTCATGTAATACAATATTTAGATTATACATAGTCACTATTACTATATATAATATTTAATTGTACTTTGTCTTTATAGGGAGTGATTGAGGTATTCAGTAAAGTAGTACTGTCCGCTAACACAAATTCGGACGGACATACGAAAATTATACTGAATTTTGATAGTACGTACGGCTAATATAGAATTGTAAAATTCAATTTTTATTATACCCATGTTTAATGGTTAGGGTTAGGGAGACCGCTCGTATTGTCCTTTTTTCATATTGGGATAATTAGTAAAAGTACCATGGGCTTGACGAAGCTTTTCTTTTACAAACTGTACGTACTATTTTGATTTCTACACGTCCGTCCTAATTTGCGTTTCCGTACCGTCCTACTTTACTATATACCCGAGTGATTATGATTTTTAGATTTCTTGCACCGTACGTACGTACGTACGTACGTGCGTGCGTGCGTTCATAATAAATTAAAGTTATACAGTCAGACCTCGTTATAGTCACTCTTGATATAGTCACAATCTTATTACTAGTTGTTTTTTTGTCCTAGCTATTATTAAACAAATTTTGACCTTCATATAGTAACAAACTTTTTATAATCAAATTTTTGTTCCCGACCTGGTGATTATATCAAGGTCTACTGTATATACCGTTACTTACAGAAATGCAAATTTGAACATACGGTTAGCGGCACTTGCAAATTTTTACTTTTTTAATGGTTAAGGTTCTGGTATTGTTCTTTCGCACTAGAGCTAGAACAGGTATAGTGGTACAAGCAAATTGTCATAATTACGACATTTTAATCTAAAAGTGCAATCGATTCGTAATTAACTATTTTCTATTAAATAATACAATGGTTAAGGAAATTGTGTAAGAATTGAAAGTCAGCTTGATGATGCGATGTATGTAGAAATAGCCGTTGAGAATTTTTTTATACAGCAATTAATGACGAGATGAAAATTTCGTCCATGTATAGTTCCGCAACAACAGTACTGTACCATTGTGTTATAAAGTTTATGACTCATATGACTTTAGTTTTTTTTGAATAAAGTTATTTAAATATTTAAATTATAATTATAAATCTAAAAATTTTCTAACCATATTAACCGTTTAATCCAGCCAGAATTATGATAATTTTGGTAGTGCAAACATAATTCATTGATCAGAAAGATGAAAGATTCTCGGTATGATTATTCTTTACTTAAAGAATAAAGAGACATGTCCCATGACTAATATAATAATCTAGTGAGTTATGTATCCAAGTTCATGAATATTTATCATCAAATCATATTTTTTAAATTAATATTTTGGACGTAATTGACTAGTGATCAAGGTGATTCGATTATTCACATAAACAATTTAGTTATCATGTTAAATTTTAACCAACTTACCAACGCAACTTTGTTAAAGGTTTTAAGTGCAAGTTTTTCGGCTTAAATGATTATCACAGCCAATTAATAATAATACGTACATTTGATTGGCAATGTCTAAACTTGATCTAATTGTTCAAATGAATTATCTAGGTGCACTGGAGAACAGTTTTGACAACATTATATTTAAATCGGTGGTTCAACTTCACAAATATCTGCCTTCAAATAATATCTCTCATCCATTAAGTTCGTGCTGATTGTTCATGCTGATTTGGTGACGAGTATAAAGATCATTAAATCAGCAGTTCATGTTCACATTCATCAAACGTTTCTTTTAAACTAATTGTTCATGATGATTTAATGGAACCTACACATTTAAGTTGCAAATACTGTACCTATTATTATTAAACAATCCTTCAAATTATTAAATTCATAAACGACTAAGCATTTCGCAACTGGCTGTGCGCAAAATGGGACTGCATGATTTGTACGTTGTGAAAAGGTTACAGTAAATTGCCACCCCCAAAATTACTGCGGTCCCTACGTAGTACAAATTCTAATAATTCTAAAAAAAGTAAATATATTAGATAGTTAGGATTCTTAGTTATGTGTTTCCAATATCTACATTATATTCAATATATGCATTATCTCAGTTATCTCATTATATTCAATATATGCATTATCTCAGTTATCTCATTACTATGTAAAAATAAGTATATAAGCAAATTATTTCACTCTAAATAGAGACGACTCAACTCGGGAACTCAGTGTAACTCAGTTGGAGTTCAACATTATAAAGTGTTTGGCTCTACTAATCCACCGATAAATAAAACCTGTACTGTATTAACAATAGGAATTAGTGACCAGAACCCGTGACCTCGTATTAAGAGACTCATGACGTAGTCTAGAGCTCTAATTGACCCTAGTTACTCGGACTAACTCTTCCCACGTCTCAATCGAAGCTTTACTGTACCATTCACAAGTAAAAAGATATTCAATAGAGAGTTGCCAAATTTAACCATATTACTTACGAATTTTGCCGCAAATTGAGGTCAATCCGATTACAATATTACTGCTCATTGATTTCATATTTGATATTTGATATTGAAATTTGCAATAATCAGGTAACCTTATTATTGATTCCAGATTGACCTCTTTGCGCAAAAATTCGTAAGTAATATGATGTCAATAGAGTTAAATTTTGTACGTATTGGTGTGTATATATCTCGACCTATATCTAGTCTGGAGCATTTCACACTTTTCAACGTACAATGTCAAATTACATATTGATTTACATACTGCATAAATCGTATTCTTGATATTTTTGTAAACCATTAGCCCTAACATCAAAAAGTAACACCCCTAACTGGACACGGCGTTAGTCATCCCTAAATTTAGAATTTAGATAAAGCTTGTGCTGTAACTTCTTTATACTTTTATATACTGTACTTACCATCTTTGTTAATCGATTTAAGCAAAAAAGATACGTGTGGCATTGTTTATTAGCAGGCATCCAAACTTGTTACGTATATAAAACCGATCTAGTACACTTAACCCTCGCTAATATCAACCCATTTGGATCACTTTAATATTCATGTTGATAGTGATATTAGTGAGGGATCATAGTAAAATTGATATATATTGATATATAAAAATTTATTAAAATTTGTCTTGTGGCTTAGGTTGATATTAACGAGGGTCATGTGTACTATTGTAAATTGATAATACAGTAACAGCCTAACCTCTAGATCGGCTTAACAAAGATGATTTAAAACAGTTAGTCTTAAACCCAGTATAAAACTGAAAAATGGCCTGCACTCAGTCTAAAGCTAAACCAGTCTGAACCAGTCTGGATCGGATCAG